CTGGAGGCCCCTGCGCGGAGGGAAGCGCACGGAGAGCTCCAGAAAGCGCGGAAGGGCTCGGCTTAGGTGCCAACGAGAGAAGAGCCGCGCCTTTGCTCCGAGGAGGAAGCTGGGGCTCCAGCACCCAGCAGCCGGGTGGGGGGGTGGGGGCAGGCTTTCGGAGGGTCGCCCGGGCTGCAGGGCGGACCGGCGCAGGTGCCAGCACTCCCCGGCATCGGTGTCTCCATGGGGGACACAGCCGGCGTCCCACGCGTATTCCTGGGCGGAATAACCGCGTGCACACAGGAAAGGCCTTGGGGCCCTTCCCACCCGCAGCGCCCCGGCCCCGCGCGGGGACTCTGGAGCCGCTGACGCACTCGGGACGCAGGCGAGGGGCTCGGTTTCCAGGGCGACGAGAGCGGAACCGCGGTCCTCGCGCTCAGGCCCGTGCGTCACTTCCGGCTGCTCGCCTCTGGCCCTCCCGCCTGTGGGGCGGTTCCGATTGGGAGCATCGCTCCTCGGGTAGCTGGGCTGTCGCAGGGGGGCTGGGAGTAGCCAACAGGACTCTGATTCTGCGGGAGGAGTTGTTGGGGACGCAGGTGGATGGCTTCCGTCCCCCGACCAGTCGCTTTCAAATCCGCCCCGTGGGCTCCCCGGTTAAAGGACGCCTAGCCGCTGCCAGATCTAGAGCATGCGCACTCCCACCGACGCAGGCTCGGGGAATCCACTGCTCCGAGTTTTCCGCGCAGCCGGTGGGATAGCGGAGGGGCGGTTTGGGGGCGTGGCTGGGGGGGCGTGGCGCGCGGACGAAGGCGTTGATTGGTCAGTTGGAAGCCCCGCTGGGGGAGCCGCTGTCGACCTCTGGCGGGCTCTGCAGTTTCATTCATTCGTTCATTCACAGAATGGATTGATTCACTCAGCTTTCCCTGAGAGTACGTCGTGTCAGAGCTGGTGCTGGGCGCTGGGGATTCAGACAGAAGTCCAGGATCTGGCTGGCACTCGCGCTGTTTCCCTCCTTCCTGTGCAACCTCACCGCATCTCTTCTGCACTCGTGCAAAGGGAGGTGACAGCCACCCCATCCTCCTGCAGGGACCTTACCTGAGAGCTCCTTACCCCGAAAGCAGCAGTTCCCCACGGAAAGGCCTGAGCTGGAATCCCGGCCAAGTGCGCAATGACTGAGCCACTTCCACTTGACGTTCACAGGTCTTTGCGGAGGGGTTGTGAGGTTTAAAATGAGCTTTGGTGCGTATCTTGGTGTGGAACCCCAGCTTTGCCCCTCGTTAGCTCGTGCGACTTTGGGCCCTTCAGGGAGACCTCTGGTGTCCAGCGCTGGCTAAGATCATTCTTAGCTGAATCGAGGCTGAATAAATCTAAGGGGAAGGATTTCGTAAACCCAAACCAAAATTTTGGCTCCAGATCCAAAGCACACTGTTCAACCAACATACTGGTGATAAAACTGACTTGTAAATACCCATTGTCTAATTCTCTGCGTTGTTTCTCAGTTGTTCCACACTCAGGAAGGGGAAAAAAGGAATGTTACTGCTTAGTCCCCTTAAATTAGAACAACCTACCTTATAAGGTCCTTGTGAGGATTAAATGAGAAATTTCTGACGACACATTGCACATTACCTGCCAGGTAAATAGTAGCTACCATGATTGTATTATTTTGAGGGAATAGATGTGAAAGACCCACTCAATTGGTTGGTTTTTAGCAGTATTAAATATATGTAGTTAAGTAAGTGAATCCCTTCCCATTTAGCTTGGGCACTAGAAAGCCCAAGTGAGACATGGCAAAGTATTTGTGTAGAATGCAGGGTAGAAGAGAGCTCTACAACATGGAAAGGAGTCAGAAACCCTACATAATACTGTTGGGGGTTCAGAAATCCTGAGGGATGATGGGCTTTGCCCAAAGTGCCCCAAATGTCACCCAACCAGAACACTTTTAGTCAGGACACCAGGCATAAACTGGGATTGTTTCAGGCAAATCAAGATACATGGTCACCCTATCCCAAAGCTATACAAGTAGCATGTGACATCATTAAAATGGAACTTCAGTCTGTCCCACTGTGTCTCCAAATGTTTTCTCATACATGATTTTATTTAATCCTGGTGACAGCCTCATGAAGTGAGCCTCATTTTATGGTTGAAGACATTGAGGTTATGTAGGTGAGTGGTGGGGTAGGTGCTTTGTACTTTTGACTCATGTTTCAGTGACAATTCTCAACTCCACAAAGTCTCCTGGACATTGGTTCTCATCTTTGGGACTCCATGATTTGATTTTTCAGGGAAGCCTCAGATTCTGCCTCATTTTACTGGAGAAATTTCTTTTTAAAAAAGGTTTTGTTTTGGGTGCCTGGGTGGCTCAGTTGGTTAAGCGACTGCCTTCGGCTCAGGTCATGATTCTGGAGTCCCGGGATCGAGTCCCGCATCAGGCTCCCTGCTCGGCAGGGAGTCTGCTTCTCCCTCTGACCCTCCCCCCTCTCATGTGCTCTCTCTCTCTCAAATAAATAAATAAATAAAATCTTTAAAAAAAAAATAAAAAAGGTTTTATTTTTATGTAATCTCTACACCCAGTGTGGGGCTAGAACTCACGACCCCAAGATCAAGAGTCACATGCTCCACCAACTGGGGCAGCCAGGCACCCCAACTGAAGAACTTTCTGTTAGAGCTCTATATCATTGAACTTTCCACCCCATTAGGACTTTTGTAGAGGGGATCTTGTGTGGGTGTGAGGTTGGACCTGATTATTTTAGAGGCTCCTTCCAATCCAACTTGAAGTGTCTACAAACTCCTTGAGGGCAGGTTTTGCTATATTCTTTGAATTCTGAACATTCAGATGAGACGCACAGGAAATGTTAAAGCTATGAAAGGTGAATAACTCCAGGAGTAAGACAGCCCTGGATACCCCCATGGATCAGTTTAATGCAAGCCCCTACCTTCTCTGAGCCTCAGTCTTCTCATTGGTAAAAATGCAGGATAGTCTCCTCTCTCACAGATTTGCTGGAACAATAAAATAAATTACTGTGAGTACATTGTAAACAGAAACATTGTCCTAAAATAGCACTGTTTCCTTTTGCCAACTTTCAATATTGCTTTCTAAATTGCTTGCCTTATCCATTTATAAAGAGAATAGGAACAAGGAAGGGCTATGGAAAGAGCACAGGCCATGGAGTCAGACAGCCCTGGATCTGAATCCCTAAATAACACTAGCCACTTGTGTAATCCCAGCCAAGTGCTGTGTCCTTTCCGGGCCTCAGCACTAAGAATAGCTACCTTGCATGGATCTTAGGAAGATAGTGTGAGCTAAGTAGTGGAGCTCTGTTCCTGGCACACAGACCTCCATCAAGGGTGGCCTCTCGTAATGTCTGTTTTCTATAACTGTCAACCTGAATTCTTAATGCCACGGAGCAGCCTCTGTGGGCATCCTTTTGTGGAGTGTTGGAGGCACTCTCCCTCAGTCTCTGGGCGACTCTCTTTTTTAGTATATGTGCTGCCAAAGCAAGCACTCTGGGCGACTCTCTTGAAAACACTTCCTGGCTCTCTGGCATGCTGAAAATCTGCTTCACCTGCTTTGCCCTGAAGATGTGTTCTGCTTATAACTCATTCCTGCTCTTTGGGAAACAATTCAATAAAAAATTGGTTTTCCACTGACCCTGGGCAGGGAGGAGGGATAGCATATTATTATTTTATAAAAAATATGAATAATAAAATAAGTTCTAAAACAGCACTGCACACATAGCAAAGAGTCAATAAATGCTTGCTGGCTTAAAGCAAACGTGATGGCTCAGTTTTTTCGTGTCTGCTGTATTTGCTGAGGGGACGATTCTTGTCTTCTGTTACATTGATTTTTTTTTTTTTTTAAGTAGGGTCCATGATCATCCGTGGGCCTTGAACTCAGGACCCTGAGATCAAGAGTTCTATGTTCTACCGACTAAGCCAGTCAGGCGCCTCTAAAAACACTTTTTTTTTTTTTTTTAAGATTTTATTTATTGATTTGACTGAGAGAGACACAGCGAGAGAGGGAACACAAGCAGGGGGAGCAGGAGGGGGAGAAGCAGGCCTCCCACTGAGCAGGGAGCCTGATGAGGGGCTCCATCCCAGGACCCTGGGATCACGACCGGAGCCGAAGGCAGGCGCTTAACGACTGAGCCACTCAGGCGCCCCTAAAAACACTTTTTATTTGAAAAAGAAATACATGTAAACAGAACACAAAGACACACAAGGGAAACAGCGTCTTCCTCCACCATCCTGTTCTCTCAGCCCTTTCTGGAGATGACACTGTTAACAAGGTCTTGTGCATCTTTCCAAATGTGCTATGGACGCTCTAAGTTATGTATGTAAATTCCGGTTCAACACAGAGAAGTTTAAATCCTAAAGTGGCTTCTGTCCTCGAGAAGAGCTGTTCCCCACCTTCCCTCTGGGTGGACAGCTGGGGCCCTCCAGGCCGGGAGTGGCTCCACCCACGAGAGATGGGGATCAGGCTCTGGTCCCCATCGGGCTCTGACCCTCCGGCGCGCGCCCCCGCCCAGCCCCCACGGCTGCGCGGATAAAGCGCGTCCCGGAGGCACGCCTAGCCTGCAGAAGGGGCTCTTATTCAGCCCACCGCTAGTTCTGAACATTAGCGAGCACGCCTGTGGCTGCTTGGTCTCCGGGGCGGCAGGGAGCCTGCTGGGGTCGCGGGCGGCGACTCCGCAGGGGTCTTGCAGGTTCCCCCCTCCCCCACCCCACTCCTCCGGGGTGCTGAAATTCGACCCGCGCGCCTTGAGGGGTTAGAAAGTGGCGCGGTGACAGGGCAGGCCCCTCCCTCGGCGTGCACCGCCCCAGGAGCCGAAGCTTTTCTGCTTCTCCTCCCCCCCCTCCCCTCCCCCCTAGTCCCCGTCCCCGGCCTCCCCCGCGTTCCTCCCAAAACCCGGAGCGGAGCTCGGGCCCGGAGCGGCCCCGAGCATGCGCAGGAGGGTGCCGGCGCAGCCGCCGGTCGGAAGCGCCAGCTCTGAGTAGGGGGAGCGGTCGCAGAGGCTGCTCGGCCCCGCCGCCCGTCAGGCCGTTGGCTCCCGCTCCGGGCCCGGGCCGCCGGCTGTGTAAGTGCGAGGTGGGGGGCTCCGGGCCGGGGGTCGGCCGGCTGCGGGAGGGCTGCCTGTGTGTGGCGGCGAGCGAGGGCGCGAGGCAGCCCGCACCTGTCCGGGCCGGGGTCCACTTCGCGCCTGTCCGGCGCCCGCCGCACACCTGCCCGGGGCCGTGCCCGCACCTGCCGCCCTGGGGCCTCGGCCCTTGCTCCCTGCGGCGCGCGGCGGCGGCCCCCTCCCCTATTCCGCCTGCCGCGTCCTGGCCCCCGGGCCGCGTGGGGTCGGGGGACCCCCGGCGCACGCTGGTTTCCCTGCAGGGCGGCCCGGCCGGCCCGGGGCTACCCTCCTGTCCCTGTCCTCTTCGTTCTCCTCCGGGTTGAGAGTGCCTGAGACCCAGCTCAGCGGCCCCAGGCGCCGGGTCCTGAGATGAGAGCCTCTGTGGTCAACTCCAGCTGACCCCACGGGGGTCGTGGGGAAGGAAGCGTGCCAGCGCTGTGCTTGCCTGTGGCCATCTCCGTCTCGCGACCCGCCCCCGCTGCACCTTGTCACCGCAAATGCCTTCTAACCCACACTTTTCTGGTGTTCAGATAGGGTGCTTGTTGAATTCACGTGTTTTTATAGAGAGAGGGGTTAAAATGTTGAAAGCAGGGCTCGCTTTAGTTAAAAATGAGCTGAAGGCAGGGGGCTGTGACATCCTCCTTCCATCAGCCCCCCTCCCCCGAGTTTAAACTAGACGGTCCGTTTTTGAGAAATAGTTACAGTAACTTCCTCGTCCAGCCCAGCTAGTATTTGTTAACGTGAAAGGATAGGACTCCAGGCATGATGTTGGAGACCCAGGAATATTGCCATACTAAAGATCCGGCAAGGTTATGTTTGTTTTTCTTAAATTGTGTGGCAGACTAGTAGTATAGAGGGACAAGCGGTTGTCAAATATTTTTAAGAATAACTGCTTTATTGAGATATCATTCACATACCGCAAAATCTACCCTTTTAGAATGTACAGTGCCCTGGTGTTAGCGTATTCACGGTCGTGCAGACATCACTGTACCAGAACGTTTTTTACCACTTCAAAAAGAAACTCCATACTCATTGGCAGTCACTTCTTATTCTGTCCTGCAGCCCCTGGCAGCCACTAATTTACTTTCTGTCTCCAGGATTTGTGTGCAGTGGGCATTTCATATAAATGGAATCATACGCTGTGGGGCCTTTTGTTATTCACTTCTTTCACTGAGCATCATGTTTGCAAGGTTCATCCATGTTGTAGTAGTATCAGTACTTTGTTCCCTGTTATGGCTGAGCAGTGTTCTTTCCACATTTTGTTTATCTGTTCATTAGTTGATGGACAATGGTGTTTCCACTCTTTGACTATTAAGAATAATGCTGCTATGAACCTTTGTGGACAAGTTTTTGTGGGGGCATGTGTCTTCAAATCTCTTTGGTATGTACCTAGGAGTAGAATTGCTGTTTATATGGTAGCTCTGTGTTTAACTTTTGGGGGGAGCTACCATGTTGAAGAAATATATTTTTGATGTTTTCTTTTAATGATTTTATTTATTTGAGAGGAGAGAGAGACAGAGCTAGAGAGCATGGGGGGAGGGGCAGAGGGAGAGGGAGAAGTAGACTCCCCGCTGAACAGGGAGCCCGATGCGGGACTCGATCCCAGGACCCTGGGATCATGACCTGAGCTGAAGGCAGTTGCTTAACCATCTGAGCCACCCAGGTGCCCCTATTTTTGATGTTTTAATGTTTGTATTAGTCTCAGAAACTAGAACTGGCTCAGTGCCAGGTCTTATTTTGTCAGCTTCTCCCTTGAAGAAACCAGTGGAAAAGAATGGACTCTGGTGCCTGGCTCCAGTTCATCAGCTACTGATTAGGAGACCTTGAACAGAATGACTGAGCCTTATTTCATCTGTTCGATTGAAGATAGTGATCTCATTTCTTAGGATTGATGGGAAGTCTAAATAGGATACATTATAGAGAGCCCAGTGAATGTCCTCTTTCACCTTATATGAGACAGATTTCCTCCCATGTAAGATGCATATTTTGAATTTGGGGCAAAAGTGAACAAGAAGTTTGTGATACTGAGCTGCTTCAGGGAAAACTCTTGCTTGAGGTTGTAAGGTTTATTGACCCGTGGCACGGATTTGATTGCTGGTGTCTTTTTAGTGCCTAGTCAGAACTGGAAGGGACCCAGAGGGATCATTTAGTCCAGGGTGAGTTAGTTGTTTGGATTTCATAGATTTGCAAATTCCAGAAAACTGGAGGGTCAATAATAGGGATGTCAATTTTAATTTTCGCCCAGACAGGATAATGGAAAAGTAACCACCATCTACTCTCACCAGCATTTCAAAGCAAGAATGTTTTAATGTCAAAAAATGTGGAAGCTCATTACCTAAACATAAATTACAATACTGGTTAATATTTATAAAGCTCTTACCAAATATACCTAAGTTTAGTTTTATGAGAAGTTCATGCACTATTCTACTTTTTCTCATTTTACTTCAGACTAGAGAAATTGAGCATCTGTTCTGAGACCTGTGCCCAGGACCCGCTGTCCCCTATCTTCAGGTGGATCTGCAGCTGAATCCACTTGCCTCTTTGTGCGTCCTGTTTTCTTGCTCATAGAGGAAGGTATTTGCAGGACCAGCAGCATAGCCTGCAGGTTGAGGACAGGGCAGAGTCTGGGCTCTAAAACTAGTTGATGTGCTGACCACTAGGCTGTGAGCTACTTGAAGTTGGACCTTCTCCCTTTTTTAACCCTTGAAAAAAAATTTTTTAAAGATTTTATTTATTTATTTATTTATTTGAGAGAGCGCACTGAGGCAGAGGAAGAGGGAGAAGCAGGCTCCCTGCTGAGCAGAGATCCCGATGCAGGACTCGATCCCAGGACCCTGGGATCATGACCTGAGCCGAAGGCAGACGCTTCACCAACTGAGCCACCCAGGCATCCCTAACTCTTGAACAATTTTGAAATACAGACTATAGCAAAGGTATATGTGATGTTTATGCATAAAGAATCACAAAACAAATGCTTCCACGTCTGCATTTGGCTTAACTTCCGAAGCCTGCTGGCTCACTCCTGAACTACACTCCTCTCTCAAGCAACCACTACCCAAATTTATTTTTCTTTATAGCTTTACTTTGTGTGTAAATATCCCTAAACAATACGTTGTGTAGTGTTTCCTGTTTTTGAACTTTATGTGAACGGAATTGTACGGCTTCTACTAATCCATGACCTACTTTATTTGCCCATCACACTGTTGAGATTCAGCCGTGTTCCTGCAGGGTCACTCTGGGCCATTCATGTTCCGGGTTCTCTAGTATTCCATTGCGTTAAAAGACCACAGTTTATTTGTCCACTCTCCTGACAGTGGACATTTGTGTTGTCTCTAGTTCTGGCTTCTAGGATCCTTTGTTGATGTTTCCTGCCATCCATATGCTAGAGTTGCTCTAGGAGGGAAGTTCCTGGGCGCAGGACGTACCAGTCCGTATGCCTGCTGTCTTAGGAGAGTTACTGTGATCTATATCTTTGTAAACATTTGGTGTTTTTCATACTTAAAATGTTTTGTCTGTGGAGTAGCATGATTCACAGTAGCCCAAAGCTAGGAGCAGCCCCAATGACCTTTGATGAATGAATGAGTAAATAGTGTATCTATACAGTGCGATATAAGCATTGAAAAAGAAGGAAATTTTGATCCACTACTACAACACGGATGAACCTTGAAGACCTGCTAAGTGAAATAAGCTCGTCATGAAAGGACACAGAATGTGTGATTCGACTTAGATGAGGGACCTAGAGCAGTTCAATTCATAGGGATAGAAAGTCAGAAGGTTTGCTGCCGGGGGCTGGGGAGAGCGGGTGTGGGGAATCATTGTTTACCGAGTACAGTGTCGGGTCGGGGAGACGGAGAACTTCTGGAGACGTTTGCATAGCAGTGGGAATGTCCTTAATGCCCTAGAACTGTACACTTAAAAATGGTAAATCTCATGTATATTTTACCACAATATAATTTTTATTTTGTCATTTTATTTTGGGTGTGAAATGGCCTGTCACGGTGACTTTAATTTGCTTTTTCCTGGTTGCCATCAAGGTAGGGCGTCCTTCTGTACCTGTCCTGGCTATTTGAGTTTTGTCTTCAAAGATGTCTCTTTGAGGGTTTTGCCCATATCCCTGATTGGGTGATGTTGTCTTCTTCTTATGCATGGATTACCCATTGTCTTGTGTCATTTATTGGAGAGCCTGTCCTTTCCTGCCATGCCTACAGTGGCACCTTTGCCGTATTTCAAATTGCCATGTACGTGTGGATCTGGTCCTGGGCAGGATTACATTCCATTTTTCTTTTTATCCCTGGGATAAAAAGAACCCGGAACTGTGCTGACTGTAGCTTTTTATTTGGTCTTTTGTCCCCCCACACAGAGGTACTGAAATATCATTTATACACCATACAGTTGACCCATTTAAATCTACAACTTAGTGGTTTTTAGTGTATTCACAGAGCTGTGCAGTCACCACCACAGTTTTGGGACGTTTCATTGCCCTCAAAAGAAACCCTGTAGCCTGTTAGCAGTCGCAGGTGTATCTGATCTTGCTCTTGGGGGGTGGGGAGGGAGGCACAAATGCCCCTTCTCAGTGGTGGTTCTTCAGAAGTTTCTTGGCTATTCTGGATCATAAATTAATTTGTTATATTCCACAAAAATTCTGGTAGGAGGTCTAATCAGAATAGCATTGAGTCTGTATATCAAACTGGGGAGAATTAACATCTGTCTTCTCTTTCTACTCGGGAATGTACCTGGGACGCTGTCTTTTCGTCCATACAGAGCCTGGCACGTGGGAAGTCCTTACTCAATGTTGGGGATGTGAATGATGAGATACCTTGTTCATTTCGACCAGAGCCTTTCACAAAAGAGAAAACCTCGGTGACCCTATGTGACTCACTTATGGTCTCATGCAGAATGACAGCCAGGGAGAGAAGCAACTTGATGGGCTCGGTGGCTGCAGTCGGTTCTCTGCCATGTGTTGCTAAGGAGGTAGCAGCATCCTTTTTGCTAATAACGTCAGCGGCTCGGCTGCTTTAAATTTCATTAATTCGGACTTATCTGGAGACGGCTGTTCTTCGGTGGGCCTAGGTGTGATGTGTGCCGTGTTACTAAAGATCCGTATGTGGCGGCACTCGTGGCTCATGTCCTGCCTGGCCCAGTGTGCCCACTGAGCACATGCTTGAATGGGGAAAGCCACAGTACAGGTTAGGATTTCCATTATGACTCAGAATTCCCAAGTTCTCTAACCTGTGGCACCTTGATATAGCCCACCTTCATTTTGGGTGCAAACATACCGAATAACTTGACGAAACCTCATTGCACAGTATGTGGAGGGAGGGCCTGTCAGCTTGTTCTCCTGGGTCTTGCGCAGGCTTCATCCGTCAGTAGGGCTCAGGGTTTGCTGGTGCTGCCACGAGGTGGGCCTTGTCCACGAGGCCTTCCCTCAGCCGCACCGGGCCCCCCTTTCCGTCTCTGCGCAGTGAAGGCCTGGACCAGATAAGCGTTCTGCAGTTGCTAAAAGCTGTGCCTTCTTTTGAGAAACACAGAACCTTAAATCTCTGCCTTCAGCCCCAACTCTTGAGGGTTCGAGAAGTCCCCCAGGGGCTGCCATACCTCTCTGTGGAGCATTGATGTGGTTGTGGTTCTTTCTGAGGGGGTGTAGAAGAGACTCTTCAGAGGATGGCTGCTGGGAGGGGCGGGGGCGGGCTGGCATCATCCCTCAGAGCCTGAGTGTGCGGCTTGAACACTTCCTCTGCCCGGGCCTCTCTGATCTTGACCAGTGATAAACCTCTCTCTGCTTCAGGTTCTTCATCAGTAGAGTTGAGGTGGTGTCACAGAAAGGTTTAAATGAGATAACTACACGTAAACCATTTATGTCCCGGGTAGACTGGAGGTCAAATCCAGATCGTCTGATTCCACTGTGGTTCTTTTCGTTATATCCTGCTGAGGGGATGAGGGAGCGGTGCATCGGTCAGGGAACGCTTCTGGGCCCCAACTCTCCGTCAGTACCCGGCTGGGTGTTGGAAATAGAAAACAAGAGACAACCCCTTTTCTGCGGGAGCTCAGGGCCTCGTGCGGGGGCCGTGGTGTTGGGGAAGAGCCGTGGTAGCCAGGTGCAGAACTCCAGGGACAGACGGTAGCCCACGGCTCTGCGCGGGGCTCACCCTGCCTCCCAGGTGGTTCACATCAGAACCACCGCATCCCAGTGCAGGCCAACAGCCTTCGCAACTGTGTGCGCCTCAGAGCCCCCATGTTCTCTTTGACAGAGTCTTCAAGATGAGTGTCCCTGACTACATGCAGTGCGCTGAGGACCACCAGACTCTCCTCGTGGTAGTGCAGCCTGTGGGCATCGTCTCCGAAGAGAACTTCTTCAAGATCTACAAGAGGATCTCCTCCGTGAGCCAGATCAGCGTGCGGGACTCCCAGCGGGTGCTCTACATCCGCTACAGGCACCACTACCCGCCTGAGAACAATGAGTGGGGCGACTTCCAGACCCACCGCAAAGTCGTGGGCCTCATCACCATCACGGACTGCTTCTCCGCCAAGGACTGGCCGCAGACTTTCGAGAAGTTCCACGTGCAGAAGGAGATCTATGGCTCCACGCTCTACGACTCCCGGCTCTTCGTCTTTGGGCTGCAGGGAGAGACCACCGAGCAGCCGCGCACCGACGTGGCCTTCTACCCCAACTATGAGGACTGCCAGACGGTGGAGAAGAGGATCGAGGACTTCATCGAATCGCTCTTCATTGTGCTCGAGTCCAAGCGTCTGGACAGGGCCACTGACAAGTCCGGGGATAAGATCCCCCTTCTCTGTGTCCCGTTTGAGAAGAAGGACTTTGTAGGACTGGACACAGACAGTAGGTAAGTTTACCTGGGGCCCCAGAGGCTTTGTGCTTGGCTTGCTTCCTGACATCACGAAGGGGGAAGCAGGAGGTAGAATTTGATGCCACAAGGGGTAGACAGGTGCAGTCCGTGGTTTTCAGACTTCTAGAAACGGGACAGCCTTTGGTTAAGGGGAGTCCGTTTAGGGTTAGTGTGTGTACTTACTCCCGTTTCAGCCGGCCCTCTTTGTGGGACCCTCTGAGCTGCTGTCCAGGATGGTGGTCACCTGAGGCTCTTGCACACCAGAGAGCTGGCCTGTCTGAGCTGAGATGTGCTGTAAGTAAAAGGCACATCAGGTATTAAGACTTAGTATGGAAAAAAGAAAGAAAATATCTTGTTCATCTTTTTTACATGTCAAAATGATAATATTTTACAGATATTAGGTTAAATAAAATATTAAAATTGGTTTCAGTTGTTTTTTACTTTTTAAGATGTGGCAGCTAGAAAACTTTATGGACGTGGCTCACATTTTATTCCTGTTGGACAGCGCTGCCCTAGTGCACAGTTATGAAACTTTTATTCAGTCTCATCCCTTCGATTTATAGATGAGGTGCTGAGCCTGGAGAGGCGCCGAACTAGGAGTCAGCTGAGCGGAGCACAAGGTGGAGCTCCTGTCTCCTGGGCTGGGCACTGCGCACGGGTCAGGCCCTTCTTCCCACCTGGTAGCTACGGTGTCCCAGTCCTCGCTTACAGCCAGCCAAGGCGAGCGTCAGGGAATCAGCGATGCTACCAGGGACTTCCCAAAGAGCCCCTTCTGCACACGGCAGTGTGTTTATATTCTCTGTGTTATGGGGGGTGTCGAATAGAGCAGGGAAAGGTCAGGCCTCACATTTCCTGAGATGACATCAGCAGCTGAGCTTTGCACCAGAACTGCAGATTACCCTCCTGTGCTCTATGCTTCCCCTCTCTGTCCCCTGCACTGCCTCCCTGTATCGTGGCCGCTGTGGTTCCACGCACAGAGGAGGAAGATGCGTAGGTTTAGGTGGTGATGCTTTGCCTGGACGAGGTTCCCTTCTGCGAGGGAGAGTGGGGGCTTCGTGGCCTTGGGCACCGAGTCCCTCCTTCCCCTCCTGTAGAATGTGGATGTGGGTCTCTCAGGCGAGGACGGAGTGACCTCGTGTCCTGCTGGCAGATGCCTGCTGCAGAGTAGGTGCTCAGCGTGTTTCTGGAGTTTACCTGAGGTCAAACACTGACTTGCCATTTGTTGGTAAGTTGGAGGAGAAAATGTCACCGAACTGAGAGAAACAGGCCCGGCCCAGCCCTGAGAGTGGGAAGCACAGAGTGGCCTAAGTTCCACCTGCTCTGGTGCGCTGTGGGGTCCGCACTAGTTTTCATTTCCTCACCACACGTGTGTGTGTGTGGCTAAGGAAAGGGCAAGTTGCACCTACGATCTGTACTCAGTCCTCGCAGTGGCCCCGAGGTCAGCACGCCGGTGCTCCCCTTTCCCGCCTTGGAGCTGGGGTGGTGAGGCGGACCAGCCCGGGCAGCCGCGAGGGGCAGCGCTGTGCTGCGCACCAGGCCCTCTCCAAAGCCGGGCCATAGTGGCCACCTGATGACCTTCCCTTGCTGCACGGGGCCGCACCACACACGGCCCCCGCACTCCCGAGCCACTGCAGCCTATGGCGTGGGCAGGGACTGGCCTCTGCTACACAAGGCACCAGTGACTATTTTTTGGTCATTGACTTCTTGGCTTTGAGGTTGCAGACCCACCAGAGAATGCCGGCCTGTTTTTGCCGTTTGAAATCTATGCTCAATTTGGTGGGAGTAACAAGACTGTCCTGGGACAGCATGCCAGCCCATAGTGCCAGGGCAGTAATGTTACCAAGTCTTTACTGAGAGCCCCTATGTGCCCGGCATGGCTCTAGGCACCGGGAATCCAGCAGTAGATCAAACTGCCCTCCCGGTGGGACCATTCTGGTCTTGGCGTGCCGGAGACACTCAGCCAGCTTTTGAACTTATGTGACATAGTGACACCAGTGACCTCAGATCAAATACACTCTCACGTCATCCCTGCTGGTCCACTGTTGCTTTCACTCGTCTACAGCGCTCTCCTTTTTTAAAACAATGATTTGGTGCAGACACAGAGCCTAGCTCTGTCCCACAGCTCTTGGTAGGAGTGTCCAGCTTGAAATGGGACCGTAGTTCGCAGCTCACAAGGAAACATCTAGGTGGAGGCCGAGGTTTGGGTGGTGCACTGATCATGTCCATAGGCCCTGTGGCAGATTTGGCCACTGCAGGCCCCACATCTCCCCAGAACACGAGGTGTGGGCGTATTTCACTAGAATGTTCACATGTGTCCCACACCTCGAAAGCCCACGGGAGATGCTTGGACCATGCAGTGTTGTAGCTGTCAAAGTGATTTTTGTGATTTTTGTTCTTGTGTGTTTCTAATTTTTGCTTGTTCCTCTCTTCTTTCCTTTTCCTTTTTTTTTCTATCATACCGCCCTGTGAGTATGTTGTTGGGTCTGAAAAGGTAGGCTGTGAACACACCACATTGAAAGTAGCTAGATCTCCCTGTGTGCTGCCTTCACCGCTTGAAAAACCAAAACCTTACCACTGCCTGGATCCATATATTACCCCGATCATCTTTTCATTTTTTAATTTAAAAAATATTTTGCTTTCTTAAGCACGTAACCCATTGTTGTTTGATATCTGTTCAAATATCTGCTTTGGGGAACTTGTTTGGTCTTACTTAGTATTTGGTGGCAAACGAGCCCTTATTAATCCCTTCTGTGTGGAGGATGTGGGATGCTCGTTGATTTCGGCGGCTGCACAGGGACTTTTCCCGGGGTATTTTAACCTGGAAAGTCCAAGACTGCAGCGCCCTGCTCGATCCTGGCTTTGGAATGAACGTAGGAGGCACGTGTTCTTGGCTGTTGCTGTGTGATGTGCATGATGAAGCCTGTACCCAGCGGCCGCCGGTGAGGGTGCCCGGCCCGGGAGCGTGCCGGCCACAGAGGGACGCTGAGGACGCGGTCACCAGAGGCCTTTCGCTTTCACCTGGAGCATGCCATTTTCTTTACTTCACCTTAGCAGCCATCCTTCATAAAAGGGCAGAGGCTGTTCTACCATCTGTCTTTTGCCCCTTCTGTGAGGGTGAGTTTTCTAGGTATTAGGAAAACATGGCCTTCTAAAGAGCTAGTTCATTTGGAGCTTGTGGACACAAGGACCTCTGTAGGTGAGCGTAGTTTTCTTTCTGCTTTAGCCAGGAAGCATGCCGAGCCGGATGTGTGGTTCACCTTAGCAGTCGTGCACCTGCCTTTCCTTTTGACCGTGTGTGGGTGAGAGATAGCTGTTTCTGTCTTTGTTGAGGCTCATGCCCGTCACTGATGGGCACGTCGTTAGTTTGCAGCAGTGAAGCTCCAACATTTAACCAAGGTCGGGCCTAGAGGGAGAACCTTTGGCCGACCTAGCTCCTTGTATTTCTCCCTGACCCAGCTCACCCATGGGAAAAGGTCTGGCCACCACCACCGTGCAGGCCAGGAGGCCTTGTTTCTTCTTTACTCCTCTGGTCCACATGTGAACACTTTCTTCCTTCACTTACTTTGTCTCAAGTGAGATAGGCTGGACCTTCTGAAAGATTCCCTCACATTCTAGGGTGGGGGAACAAAGCAGAAATAAGTGTAGCAAGTAGAAGACATTGCAACTTCCCGCCTGCAGACATACAGGGCAGGGATGCCGTGATGGCCGGGCTGTGCCCCGCACCACAGGGCCTTTCCTGTTGCTCCCCAGGCCCCGGGGAGCTGTGTGAGAACAGCTTTGCCTGGGCTCCTCCTTTCTCACCTGCTCACCTCTGGCAGGTATGTCTCTCTCTTTTTTTTTTTTTTAAATTTTTATTTGTTTACTTGAGAGAGCGAGAATGAGAGAGAGAGAGCACATGAGAGGGGGGAGGGTCAGAGGGAGAAGCAGACTCTCCGCTGAGCAGGGAGCCCGATGCGGGACTCGATCCCGGGACTCCAGGATCATGACCTGAGCCGAAGGCAGTCGCTTAACCGACTGAGCCACCCAGGCGCCCATGGCAGGTATGTCTCTTAACCGGAACTTTTCTAGATCTCAGACCCTTCAAAGTGCAGATGACAGGAGAACCATGAGCCCCTTTTTCTGGGCTGTTCTCTTGGTCTTACCCGTGTGAGCCTCACATACCTTCTCTGAGCATCCTGTGCCAGGAGAGACCTCCTGCTCTTTAGCGGGCCGTGACTCAGCCCGCGCTTGCTGTGAGCTTGCTGTGAGCTTGCTGTGTCTTGCACTGGGTCCTGTGGCACGACCCTGACTATGGTGTTGGGGGCAGGGGTGGGGAAAAGAGGAAATCAAGTAAGAGACTCAGGGTTTTGACTTGAGCAACTGGTCATGTGGCGAGGCTGTCTGGTGGGGAGGACTGGGAGGTTCCTGCTGGGGGTCGAATTCCAGAATTAAATATTGGACATGTATTGTAGATGCCTATTTGACATTCAAGTGACAGTTTCAAAGAGGCAAATGGATTTATGAGCCTGGAGTGCAGGGAAGGAGTGGACCGGAGAACCACGCTCGGAGTTGTCAGTATGTGGCTTGTATTTAGAACCAAGCATGTGGGTGGGTGAGCGCCTCCAGTGAGGTGTAGACTGGGGCGGGAGGAGGGGCCAGAGCTGTGACCAGTTAGTGGAGGAATGCCCAGTCTCATGGAGGTTTTGTACGTCATTCTGAGGAGGCTGGGATTTTAGGAGCTGCTGCCATTTATCTTGAAAGTGCTGGTGGGCAGGGCAGCTTCTGAAGGAGTCTGAAGGGAATGGTGTACGGGACCTGCGTCCTGGGAAGATGGCTCCTGCAGCAGGAGGGTGGAGGTGAGCCTCCTCAGGGGCCAGAGTCACCTGGGGTGGGGTGCAGAGCCCTGCCGGTCCTTGGAGGGCTCAGAGGCCTGAGGAGTGGGGAGTCCCAGCTTCCTGGTCTGTTCTTCCTGTGGAACAGAGGGTGCCTTAGGTAGGGATCTGCTGGGAGAGGTGATGGGGGATTGGGAACAGAAGCTGACCTATAGAAGGATCGATGGATGGTTCTGGAATTGTCTTTCCCCCAAGTAAGACTTTAAAAAACCCTCTTGAGTACATTGGTAGTTACTTTGGAGGAAGCAGTTCTTTTTTGATCCTTCCAAGTGTGAGGTCCTATACCGGCGGATCCAGAGATGAGTAAGGCAGTGCGTCACAGGGCTTCTACCAACCGGGGGGAATAATGCCCAGTTAAGGCGGGGAGGGCCGGAGAGGGGTAAGGTGCCAACTAGCCGCGCTACCTACGTGTGTCACTTGACACAGCGGCGGTATTTGTAGACAGGTCGACAGCTGTGTTACTGGAGGAGGGAATGCTGAAGTCTTCTCTCAGTCGGAACAGGGAGCACCCCAGGGAAGCGAGCCAGGCACTGGCCAGCTGTGGGGGGAGGCCTGGCAGTGCCGCTGTGTGCACGGACGGGAGCCCAGGCGTGCGTCCCTGAGCTTCTGTTCAGTTGACGTCGTTCTCCTGTAATTCTGCGTCAGGACAGATGCAGAGTCCCTGCACGGTCCCTGGTGTTGCCGTCAGAGTAAGATATATTCACCGTGCTGGAGTGGAACTTCTCTCCCTGTCCAGTCCAGCGGCTGTGACAAGCACGTGAGAATCCTTGGATTTGGGACTTGGGCTGTGCTTTGCTCTTTGTTCCTCCCTTCCCTCTTTTCATCTCTCTCTCCTCTTCCCAAGTGCTCTCAGAGAGGCCGTGGTCTTAATAGAGGGGGTGGACAAAAACTCAGATAGAGACAGTGCTGTCGTGTTTGGGGGGCAGCCCTGCCTAGGGCTGAGGGACACGGTGAGGGGGGTTTCCAGGACACAGAGCGATCTGCCTTGAGTTCTGGAGACAGAATGAGAGTCAGCCAGGGGAAGGGGCCAGGGGGCAGGAGCAGCCTGGGCAGCTAGGAGGATGTGGGTGGGGGCGTGAGGCGAGTGCCCCGTGCCGTGCGGTCCGTGTCCCAGGCTTCAGGGGGGAGGCTGGGACCCTGGAGAGGACCTGCCCTGCGGGGCTTTGGAGGAACTTGGTTTTTATTAAAACTGACAGCAGAGGGAGGCAGTGAAGGGTGTCAGTAGGGAGTGGCCTTTCGGAGAGGTGTTCGTGGTTTTGATCTGCAGAAAGAGGGGTTTGGGGTGGGCAGGAGCAGCTCAGTCCCTTTGAGACCCATCCATTCATTTGTTTATTCACAACAAACCTGTTTTTGAGTGTCCAGGGGAGAGGGATGGATGCACCGGAGCAAGCAAAGTGTACTTGCCTTTTTGGAGCTTACATATGTCAGAAGTTGATTCAGCATAGAATGTTCTAGGAACGCAGCAGCGGCATCTAATCCAAAGTGCAGAGGCAGGAGGCAGGGACGGCTTTTTTGATAAACTGACAGTTGAAATGAGCCCTAAGGAGAGTGTGAAGCAATTAGGCAGGAGGTCACTGGGGACCCTGGTAAGCAGTAAGGTGAGGCTGTAGAGTGCAGGGCAGTGGGGCAGCGGGAGCGGGGCTAGAACTGTGCTGGGGAACGGGTTTTGAAGCAGGAGGAGTGACCTAATCAGATTTACGGTCTGGGAGGCCCCTCCTGGCTGGGGCGGGGGATGGGGGAGGAGGGTGTGTGTGTGTCAGGGACATGGTGGAGGGGCCGTACAGAGTGGAGGTACCCAGTGGGGGAGGGCAGGGCAGCATAGGTTTGGTGTTTTCTTATGGGGAGGGCTTGTTAGTGGGGGCCATACTCACACTGCCTTGCGCTGGGCAGGAGACTGGTGCTTCCTCTTCTCTCCCCTGCCTTCTGTGATGATCTTAGTTCAGTCAGTACTGGGAACAGAGACACCGAATTCCAGGGAGCCCGAGCGTTTCTAGGGCTTGTCAGAGTTAGATCTGGAATGACTTAACTTCGTATTGAAGTCTGTCAATAGCATTCATTTAGCTAGAAACTTCACGTATTTTGGATTTCCATGGGGGTTTTATTCTTGACGTGATTGCTTTCTCAGTGAGAGAAAATTTAATTCAGCTGCTATTTCTCTTGAAAAAAAATTTTAAGAAATTTAATATTTAAAAGAATAGGAATATTTAAAAATGGTAAAGGAAGATTTCGGTATAGTTTCTTTGGTTTCTGAGCACATAGAAGCCTTTGCATTATTTAACAGCGTATCCTTGCCAGTATTTAAGGAGCTGTTGGTGATGCCCCAGGCCCCACCCCCTCAAGGCGTTACTGGGCTGGCTCTGCAGGAGTGGGGATAAAGGTCTTGTTTGCAAAAGCCAAGTGGCGGGCTTTTGATATGCAGCCCAGCTCTGTTTATACAATAATAGTAGGTTTGAAGTTAAGAAAGTGGAAGATAATTGATTTTTTTAAAAAGCTGAAACATCAACTTTCTTGTGCTGATGTTATGGAAAATTTGCAAAGGAGAATCCTACTCGGGTATTGTCTAGGTGAAATGCACGGTGGAGGTCACCGGTCCCTGCTACCTCTAGACAATAACTTGGCAGGTGTTTGTGAAGTCGAGACCATTCCAGCTCCCACACTGGCCATGATGGTTGCTGCCTTTCAATTATGGAGCCTAAAGTTGCCTTCTTAGCATTTTTTTTGTAGTGAGAGAGTCAAATAGTGCTTTCGGGGCAGAAGTCGTGCACTAGCAATGACACGTGTCCATGCATTGTATTTTGTAGACATTACAAGAAGCGGTGCCAAGGGCGCATGCGCAAGCATGTGGGTGATTTATGCCTCCAGGCAGGGATGCTGCAGGACTCCTTGGTACATTACCACATGTCTGTGGAACTTCTCCGCTCGGTGAATGACTTCCTGTGGCTTGGAGGTAAGATCATCCATGCAGATATCAGATATGTGATTGGAAATAAGAGAAAACATAGAAAATTGGTTCTCAAAATGAAGGGTGCGGGAAGAGAAGCAGTCGGCTGTCTGGATGCTGTGGGGGATCGTCTGGGGTAACTGTCCCTGCCTTGTCTGCTGCCGCGACCCCCATCCCCCTACCCCCAACCCGCACTGAGGTCCTGCTGGCACCTGCATGCACTTGCCTTGACAATGTGCTGCCTTTCCTTGTTCCTCTGGGTTTTTGGGTTTGTTTTTAAACACATCTTGCCCTCTGCTTAGAATGCCATTCCCCATCTTAGTTACCTCTCACGCTCATTCTTCAAAACCTCATCTGTGCGTTAGCTGACGACGATTGACTACATGTGGTATATCCATTCAGCAGAATGTTAATAAGCCATGAAAATGTTGGACATTAAAAAAAAGGAAAAAAAAGAGAGGTGGGGGTTGGGGGAATGGGGTAACTGGGTGATGGTCAATTAAGAGGTAAAGCTGTGGAAGGTGACAGCACAGGGAGTGTAATCAGGAGGAGCAGGGTACCGTTGGTGACAGACGGCGACTCCACCTGTCGTGGTGAGCGCTGATCAGTGTACGGACAGCCGGATCAGTACGTTGTACGCCTGACACAGGTATCCCGTTGTCTGTGTGCTGTACTTCAGTAAATGAAAGACACAAAGGGCCGCTTCTTTTTCTTTTTTTAATAAAGATTTTATTTATTTATTTGACAGAGAGACACAGAGAGAGGGGGGGGGGGTGGCGCGGAGAGGGAGAAGCAGGCTTCCCGCGGAGCAGGGAGCCCGATGCGGGGCTCCATCCCAGGGCCCTGGGATCATGACCTGAGCCGAAGGCAGACGCTCAACGACTGAGCCACCCAGGTGCCCCAAAGGGCCGCCTCTTAATCTGGATTGTTCCGAAAAGTCAGGGGATTGATGACTGGTTGCCGGGGGCTGGGCAGAGGGGCATGTGAGTGCTGGTGGCTGTGAGGCTTCCTTCTGGGGTGATGAAGACATTCTGGAATTAGATGGTGGTGAAGGTTGCACACCTGTGAATTGGACACTGCTCCGTGGGTGAGTGGTAATGCTCTGCGAGTTACCTTTCAATTTGAAACACTAACAAACGAATTAAAAACCTGCTTCAAAGGAGAGCCTTTTCTCACCCTCTAGGCAGTGGGGGCCTGCGGTGTCCTGTACTGAGCCCTGCCTGTTGAGGGGCTTGCCCTTTGTGCTGGAATTGTGTGTTTATGTGTGTTTTCCCTTGGGGGACCATCTCCAGGGGGTGGACTGGGAGGCACGGTCTGTGTGTGTCCATAATCAGCTTACTGTATGTGTCCCATAAATGCTTGTTAAATAAACATCGTGTGAGTGAGGAGTGAAATAGGGTTCTTTCCTGGAAAGGTGAGTTGGGGGGGCCTGTCAGCTACTTATGAATACAAGTCAGAATGAAGTAATGAAGTCAGTTCTTTATTTTATTTTAAAGATTTTATTTATTTGACAGAGAGAGACAGCGAGAGAGGGAACACAAGCAGGGGGAGTGGAAGAGGGAGAAGCAGTCTCCCTGCTGAGCAGGGAGCCCGATGTGGGTTCGATCCCAGGACCCTGGGATCATGACCTGAGCCGAAGGCAGACGCTTAACGACTGAGCCACCCAGATGTCCCTGAAGTCAGTTCTTTCATAGAAGTTTAGCAACATGCTGTAGAACACAGTAAATACAAGAAATTCTTAAAATGGGCTTCTGTTTCAGAATTTGGTTTCTTAAAGAGGCTAGAGATTGACTGGTGGAATATATCTGTACCCCAGTGAGCTATAACATTAGGGCCCCTGCAGCAGGCACTTATCCAGGAAGAATGGCCCCCACGCCCATGGGGGGCCCACGGAGTGATAAGCTGGGTTGGCGGGGTTCCTGAGGAGGGGGGTGTGCTGTGGGCTACTTTCTCCTGCAGCCTCTCATAAGCCATGGGCTCCGCGACCTGTGGCTTCGTAACAGATCAGAACAGAAGCAGACAGGAGGGTCCAGCTCCCTCGTATCAAGCCAGACATGAAAGACATTTGTAAAAGTGTAAAACAGTGCTGCTCTGCCAGCATATATTTTTGTTTTGGAAAATAGTGTTCATAAAAATGTAACACGTAATGGGCTTGTTATGATTTTAAAAGGAATGAACACATATTTAAATCTTTTCTTAGCTTTATTTTCAAATAGGGTATCTGTAGATGTACCCGGCACAAACCAAAGGTCTTTGTGATCCTCAGTGGGTTTTCACAGTGTGGGGGCGCGCTAAGACCACCACGTTTGAGGACCGCTGCAGAAGTAGGGGCGAACACTGTGGCACGACGTGTCTGGCCCAGGGCACGGCTAGAGACTCTTAGGCTGTAACTGCCCACATAGAAGAACAAAACGTGGCTGCCTTCGAGGAGACGGGCTTACTGGTGTCTGCTCTGAGGGTGCCAGATGCATTTAGGGTGTGTGATGGGACGAGGCGGTGTGGTCCTGCTTTGCTGGTCTTGTTTTTGAATATTTTCAATCCAGGGCGTTTCCTGCCGCCCAGCTCTGTAGCGTCAGAATCGGGCACAGAGCCTGCCTCCCGGTGAGCCCTAAACTTTTGGTTAAAGGGACAAGGAGACTGGCCCGTGTCAAGTGTGTACCCAGCCTCTCAGTGAGGCCTTGCGTTTCCTGAGAGTGTTCGGTGTTGCCAGCTTGGGCCTGTGCCTGGGTGGCATGTTCCTGTTTGTAACCAAGCCAGTGATCTGTAGGTTCGATCTTTGTTTTGGGGAAACATGGGCATTTCCACATAATCGAACTGTTTAAATCATTCTTAGCCACTGCAGTTTGAGCTCATTATGGGCCACTAACTTTACTGATGGTGCTTTTTTTTTTCACACCCAGCTGCCCTTGAAGGGTTATGTTCGGCTTCTGTCATCTATCACTATCCTGGTGGCACTGGGGGTAAGACTGGAGCTCGAAGGTTCCAGAGTAGCTCACTTCCTGCCGAAGCAGCCAACAGACATCGACCAGGTAAGCTCTGCACTTTCCTCCTGCCTGGACTCAGTTACAATCTGTAAGCAAGGTAGGTGGGTGGGGGTGTGTGTCACTTAGAAGTTCCCCTCTGGGTTACACCTCACAAATGTTTAGATAAAATATAAAATCTCTTGAGTCAGAAATCTTGCATGAGACGTTTTCTTCTGACTTTATTGAATACTGATCTTATGGAATCTTACTATTAATGGGTTGTAATGATTGGTTGATTTCTGGAACACTTGAATGAAGTTTCTTGGTAGACTGACCTCAAAGTTCTGGGGTGTCTGGATCTTTTTCTTAATTTTTGTGTATTTAGGGAAGCTGGCCCCAGATGTTGACTTTAACAGCTAATTCAGGGCCTGGACTGTTCCTTATTTCTGGCTTGATGAAGTTCTCTTAGTAAGTTGAGTTTGAGTTGCTTATGTTTGTCAGCACCAATGAAGAGTAAAAAATCTTCTTTGGAGGAGCAGACTCACAAGTGCTTGTCAAATGAACTTGACCCTTCTGACCCTTAATGAATGAACTATGGCCTCAGTCATGAAGATAAGAACAAAGAACAGAGGTCAAGGCTTTACACACAATTGCTAGGAGTGTTTTGATTGATGAGGTGTTTAGACACCTTTTCCTCCAAAGAGAAAGCCCACGGTAGTTAATGCGTATTGGATAGGGAAGTGGCCTGAATGTGTGGTTTCCTGAATTATACCTTTTCCCATGACCAGCAGAGAGTGCAGATGGCCTTTAGGAGCAGGTTTACTGCGGCTGCACAGCCGGAACCGGGTGCACCTTTTGTAGGACTGCTCAGGTGGATCTGTAATGGTTCTGGAAGATATTTCATCCTTCTTCAGCACAGCGCTCCTCATGATTTCCGTGGCCCCCAGTTACGTGAGGGGAAGGTACAGCAGGCCTAGAAGAGATGTGGAGTCTGAGGCTGGGCGGGCCTCCCTCTCCTGTGCTTGGACCCTGACTGGCCTCCTCCCGGTTGCGGTCCTGCCGGCCCTGCTGTGGGGCTCCACGTCCTTCCCCAACCCGAGAAGACCGGCTCCCGTGCTCTCTCCGGGAGTCTTTTGTTGGAGGTGGTTGTTTCCCCTGTTTGAAGAGTTCTAGTGTGTTGAGACTGTTCTACTGATGTGATTAGTGAGACTCTAGACACTTTTTAGAGAAATGTTTCATTTTCCCCCTTGGCTGAACGTAGGCAAAGAAAAGGTTTCAGCTGTTTTTGAAAAACTGCTTTGACTGCAGTAGAGGAATGTCTCTCTTCAGCTTCTCAGAGTGTAAAAAGCTCAGGCTCTGCTACTTTTGGAGACAGCCGATGGGAAGGCGATGCAGCAAAGCCCAGGTGAGGGCTGACAGCACGCCAGTCCCGCTTTACTGCCCTTCCTGCAGACAGGGGTCCAGGCCCGTCACCGCGCTTCGTCTCATGTGTTGTTTTATCTTGGTGGTGACTTCAGGATTGTCTCTTTGTGGCCTCCTCGTCCTACAGCAGGGGGGGCTGTATGGCATCTGCTCTCTGGGGTGAAGACCAGACAAGCTGATGACCTAATGTTCTCCCTTGAGTTCCTTTCTCAGCAGCTGAAATGCAGGTGTCATTTACTGTTAGTGTGACCTGGAATGTTTCATCTCTTGGTGCCTCAGTTTGTCTATCTCTAAGACGAGGAAGGTAGTGACAGTGCTTCCCTCATAGGGTTCCCGTGAAGGTGTGTGAGATGTGCACGTAGAGGACCTGGACCTGCCCTCCGTGGTCCCGGATAACCGTTAGCGGCCACGTCAGCCAGAGTGTTAGCGTGGAGTGTTAGGTCTTTTTAAGACTTGGTGATAGGAATTCACAAGTGCAGTTAGAAGACCCTTGACAGCTCGGACCCCAGCTATATGGTTTTCCAGCAGACGTCCTCACACTGAGTTATCGTAGTTTCAAAAGAATTCTGTAGTCCCCTCGTCTTTTGCTCTAATTCCCCTTTTGTTTTCTTTTTTAAACTTTCCTAGTATCCAAAAGTTAGAGGCCACAAATTCTTTTTTTCTTGGAGACTTGCATATGAACCTGTAAATCTATATAATAAATAGACAAAACTTGGTTCATTAAAAAAATCACTAGGACATTCTGCAATTAATCTGAAAAGAAATGCTTATTGACTTATAGATGTTTCTTCTTTGTGGTTGCTTTTACTCTTTGGTCTGTCTTAGTTTATTAATCATCACCATCATCATCATTATCAAAATAGCTGTGAATTATTCCGGAGCTACCTGGCCAGGGGCTGTGCTCAGTGCTCCCCTTGTCTCGTGCCTCCCGGCAGGCGTGACACCCCATGTATCCGTGTCCCCTCTGTGCGGGTGAGGGATCGAGGCTGGAAGAGATACATCCCTGGCCCCCTGTTGTGCAGCTGGGGGTGGGGGCTGACTCAGGGCCGGGGCCCAGGTGCTTTGACCGTGTGGCACATGCTCTGTTGCTCTGCTGTCCAGCCTCCCACTGGCTGGTTTCCTGAGCGCCGGTGAGTTCATCAGTGCCAGACTTCCGTGGTCTCAGCCTGACACGGCCTTAAAAGAAGAGACGTCCGTGAGACTATGGGACAGAGGGGCAGATATTGAAATCGGACATTTCCGCAGTTGATTTAGTCTGAGCCAACAATGTAAAAAGTTAATATTTTAACTCCATAAGCACTAAAAATAAAACATTTTAAAAATGATGACAGTGCAAAAGAGAAGTGGGCTTTGAAAATCCAGCTGTTGCTAGTGACTTAGTGCTTGTTTTTCTCTGGTGATGCTTGTTGGGAGAAAAAGTTATACCGACTGAATTGGTTTTATGTAGTCATGAGTACGGAAGAAAAAAGTAAGTTAGTAAATGTTGAGAGAAGGTAACAATCTAGACTGTTTTCTTTCTGATGATGAATATGTAGGTTTTATGGGACTTGGGCCTTGTCAGCCTTGCTTTTTATGGCCCAAGTATATTTCCTTACTTGTGGAATTTAAATAATGTTACTTAATTTGTGTTATGAGAATTAGCTACCTTTTATACAAAGCACCTAAGAGGTGCTCAATAAACATTTACTGTCACAAATAACATAGATTATTTAGCAGTATCAACTTTGAATACTGAAGAGGGTGGTTTGTTTCTGATGCATGTTCAGTAATACAGGCACATGATAATACGAGTATGATTTAAAGTGCTACGGATACAGTGACATTTTTAATTTTATTTTAAAGATTTTATTTATTTAATTGACAGAGAGAGAGACAGCAAGAGAGGGAACACAAGCAGGGGGAGTGGGAGAGGGAGAAGCAGTCTCCCTGCTGAGCAGGGAGCCCGATGTGGGGCTTGATCCCAGGACCCTGGGACCATGACCTGAGCCAAGGCAGACGCTTAACCAACTGAGCCATCCAGACGCCCCTCCAGTGACGTTTTTTAGCACAATATGAAGTTTTGATGAAATTGGTGTTGTTTTAGTAAGATGGGGAACAGCTAAATTGCCTTAAGCTGGAGAACTTGATTTTTTGTACAGAATGTATGTTTTTACAACTCAGAATTCATATTGCCATGTAATCATTCACTAAAACCTTTAAATAACTAGGAATTTGACCATAGCCAATATGTTTAGAAAAATTGATATTGAGCTGTTTTCAGGGAATAAGCTTATCTCTTTTGTGAGTGAAGAAAATTTTTTTTTTCTGTATTCTTAAAAGGTTAGCAAATTGAAAATGTTGATTTGACTTTTTTTAAAATAGAGGGAATAAAAGGGGAGAACTCATGCTGTTTTACTGTGTAAATAAACATTTTTGTATTTCAACACAGTTGTATGATTTATAGTTACCAGCTCTTTGGGAAGTATTTTGCAAGACACTTAGACTACCTACTGTTGGAAAAACACAGATGTGACTTTTATGCATCCAGGGTTAGTATAGCTCTGCTGGGTTTTGGTATAGTGCAAGATGTGAGGACTAGGAGTAGGCTTTGCTACAGAGTGCTGGAAGGACAGACTCCCTGGGTCTCAGTCTCCCTGAGAATGAAGGGGCTGAACCAGACGCCCAAGACCCCTTCCCGTTAAGGTTAGTTTCCATGAGCCTATTCTTGTTTAAGGTTCCAGAGTAAGTGCTGAATACCACTCCCTTTCCTACAGCAGAATTTCGTATGTGCTAGCTCAGCTTTTAGTAAGGTCTCTGAGCATCCTATTTTTAAAAATCTTACTGATCTTTTCTTAGCACGCAGGCAATTTTTTTGCACCTTTTCCAGCAACTTGGAAAGCTTTTCTGTGGCCATAGGGGGTGCTGTTGCACCTTTGAAAAGTCTTAATTTTCCTGTTTGTGAAAGACTTAACCAATGTTCCTTTAATTTGATTTTTTTGTTTAATGCTTCAGAATAGTACAATGTCCATTATGTCTGGGTGTTCCAGTGATATCTTATTTTTATTCTGTCATCTCTCTGAAAATTTCAGGTGTGCTGTGTGAACAATGGTGAAATTGGACTTTTCTTCCGATATTAGAGACCAGTCAGCCATGCTTTCATAAAAGAGGTGGAAACAGTCTGTGGAGTGCCTTGACGCTGAAGAACTCTGGGTTCCCTGAGTGTTCATCAGTGGGGGGTGATTTGGTTGCAGGGACCAAGCCTCGTGTTTTGATTGGGTAGGAGTGCACACGCTGCCACTTGGCCTTGTGAACCTGAGTTCATACTTTCTGAGTTTTTTTCTCATTTGAAAAACAAGGATGCTAATGTCTGCTTTGGAGAATTGTGAGGATCACAGAGAAATTATGTAAAGCGTTTAGCACAGTGGTTATCTCATAAAAGAGCTCGTGAACTTCGGCTGTTATTCTGCACGAAGCCATCATTTTATAGTCTTTGGGGATTGCTAAGGGTTTAAAATATGAAATGATGGTTTTGGGAAGAAAGATGCAGTTAAGAAACGAGTGAACTATTTGAGGAGGGTCAGCAGTTCCTGTACTCAGACTTCCGCAGCAGCACCAGAGATAGGGACTTTATGTGGTCACTCTGAACCTATGTGAAGTCACAGAACTTTTTGTTAATTAGTGTCTGTTGGGGCTTAAGGGGGCCCAATCATTGCACTCCTTTTTTCTCCACCAGCCAACTGGGAGACGAGATGGAAGAGGAGGCAGGTGGAGACAAATGGCACCTTTATTACTGATAAAGCCCCATTCTCCATGAACTTTAGGAATGCAGGAAAATGGGCAGGCTGTACTGTATCCAAAAATAAACAGACTCTCCCATCCCAGGGGGCTCTGGACCGCAGGGTCCTTCCCATGAGAGGACCTGCCCCTGTCCTCGGGGCGGGAAGCCAAGGACCCTGCGGCGGGCCAGCACCAGAGGAAGAAGAGGGTTTCACATGTGCAGCTCGCCTCCCAAACGTCCTGAAGTTGGAAGTCAGGCCATTTGAGTGAGGAGGACGAGCAGGGGCACGTGGTCCAGGACTGTTGTGGGGGAGACCTCCTCATGGAAACCAGAGCAGCGGGGAGGAAGCGGCTCCTTCCCTTCACTTTCCACAGGTCATGGGGTGGAGCAGAAGGGCGCTGCCCAAGAACTTGTAAATGGGAAAATGAGGAAGTATGAAAGATGATTAGAAGGGAGGTTTGTGAAATCACCTTAACAGTTACCATTTGTTGAGCACTTAAAATGTGCTACACAGGATTCTCAGCGCTTTACATAAACCAATGTAATCCCTTCATCCTCACAGCAACCCAGCCGAGTAGCCTTGATTATTGTGCCCATTGTACAGATGTGAAAATTGAGGCATAGACAGGGTGAGCAACCTGACCAGGCTCACGGAGCTAGCAAGTGTCAGAGCAGGGGTCTTGGTTCCCAGAGACTGGCTTCAGGTGTTTGGGGGTGTCAGCCTGTCTGTAGATCTTCAAGGGCATCTATCCATGAGTCAGGGCTCGGTCAGCCTAGAAAGAGTGGCAGAGGGAGAGTTACATGAGTGGTGACCGTGAGAGTCATAGTGATCAGCCTTGATTGCTCGTCTAGGCAGCAGATCTGTCCCTGTAACAGGGAGTCCCAGTTAATCTAGGAAAACACCTTCCTGCTTGGCTTCCGTCCATGCTCACCACGTAACCTCCTGCCTGTGATTGGGCTGTTGAGGAGAAGAGTGCTGATTGTTGAACTGAGATATTTTGGTCTGATTGATAATTATATCTTCTATTACATTAATAAGTTCAACCCCCACTTTTTTTACGTGAGTCTCTCAGGAGTTTGGTTAACGTGAAATCAGTCCACTGGAGCCTGATGATGCTGATAATCAAATTTCTGAGCACGTCAAGGTGCTTCTGTCCATGGAGACCTGGCTGGAGGACACCCTTTCTTTCAGTGTGTGATTTCTTTGGATAGTACCCGCTCTTCCCCCGCCCCCACCCACATAAGATCAGAGGCCTTCCGAGTAGGCCAGATAACAGACAGCAAAGTGCACATGCTCCTCTTCCCAATCAGAAAACTATTAAGTGCCTAGAAATGAGCTAATAAAAGGTTTCCAGGAAGTCTAATTAGATGTTAAAGTCCATTTGGTAAAAAGCTGTCCATTTTTTTTGCAGCTGGGCTTTTCCTGTGCTGTTTGAAAAAACTATCTGGGCCATGTGGCTTACCGACTCCTATTAGATTAGATGAAGGGAATGTAAAAGGCAGAAGAGGGTTGTTCCAGACGGTCTGTCCACACCAGTGAGAAGTGATAGTTGGCTGCCTGCATGAGACATGAGACAAAGATTTTTACACATTGAATAGGAGAACTTTAAAAGCTCTGCAATCGGAGTGCACTTAGTATGGGGCCCAGTCCATCACTCCATGTGCTGAGAGGTCAAATACGACTCTGAGCAGAGGCAGAAAAAGTTCCAGTCGCACCCCCTGTTTCATGGATATGGCACAGTGTAGTATATTTGACCAGGGTTTTCGCTGAACAAAAAGTTTCTAGGGTTATCTGGAAACCCCCATTCCCCAAGGGTCCACACAGCTGAGTGTCCCCTCAGGGCAGATCTGTCTGCTCTATCCCTGGGCATGGCGGTGGGGACAGAGTGACGGAGCATCCCTGGCCCCTCTGACTGCCGGTCTCCTCAGCAGTGTGCGGGCTTAATCATCCCTGTCTACTTTGCAGGGCAGCTCTGAGAATCACACACAGTGGCTGTCAAGCGTTTGGCTTGGCGTGTAGTTGGCATTCAGTAGAAAGCACCTGTTTGTTTATTATAATCGTGGCTTCTAGATTACAGTGATTTTTTTGTCTGCATTTAAATATAGACGTTGCAGTACACCAAACAGCTCTTAAATAGGATTGTGGGACCTATTCTCTATGTAAACAATTGAATAACTGTGCTATTTCAGTAAGAATACGTATCATTGGGATATACTTTTTTGAATGTTAAAATGATTGTAGCTAGTGATAAACACAACTCTTGGAACCAGTACTTCTTATGGTGTGTTTTGCCATCATGGGAAATTACCTTCTGCAGAGAAGGCTAATTGGATCTCATTGATACTTGGGTAGTTCAGCAGATGATCAAGGCTTTCAAAGCTTCTTGATAATAATGAAGTTAACTATTTTGCATTGTACCTACTAAAAGTTGGAAATCCTTCGCTTGTGAAGCGTCCAGTAATTCAGTGAGTGTGTGTGTGAGCGAGTGTGAGCGTGAGATTTCAGGAGGATGGTGCTGAGCGTGAGATTTCAGGAGGATGGCGCTGAGTGTGAGCGTGAGATTTCAGGAGGATGGTGCTGAGCGTGAGATTTCAGGAGGATGGTGCTGAGTGTGAGCGTGAGATTTCAGGAGGATGGCGCTGAGTATGAGATTTCAGGAGGATGGTGCTGAGTGTGAGCATGAGATTTCAGGACAATGGCGCTGAGTTCCTTGCAACAACTTTGCCCTCCATTCCAAGCTGTGGGCATATATTTGCACAAACAAATTATTATTCCTTGGTCATTTGGCTTATCTGTGGGAATAAGAAATTCTTGTACTTGGTTAAGGAGGTTGGGGGAGCATGCGCTTGGAGGGTGGGAGGGCAGGAGGCAAGGCCCTCCACGGTTTGTGCAGGGTATGACTAATGGCAGCTGTTCTATCTTGCCTCCTAAAGCAAAAAGGCACTGAACTTGTGACATACTCTTACTCAGAATTGCTCTCCTGATCAGATAGAAGTGTCTCAGAAGTTACAAGGCAATGTGAATCATGAAATGTGATTAGTAGTCTTTAAAAGTAGTTTTGTTTTCCAAATAAAAGACTATAATCTGTTCTTTCTTCCAGGGGCACAAGAAGTTCTCATTGATCCAGGTACATGATCTATGTGCTTAGTTTCTTTTGGTTCTTTTTTTAAGTGCTTGTTTCATGGTGGTGTGAATGAATGGTTAAAATTTCTGGATTGTGATCTTTGGAACATTCTGATTTAAGTAACTTTAAATCAGAACTGTTAAAAACCTGATTATGGTTTGGTCCTTGTTTGATGGGGCACCCTGTTGATTTATGTTGTCTGTTGAAGAGGGGAATTCTTCCTCCAGCATGGTTAAGTGAATGATTTGCAATGATTTAAAATTCTTTGAATGCATTGAGCATGCTTGTCCAGTTAATTTTGAATTTATTCATAGTAATGACTTTGCTCTGATTTTGTGGTTTGTGCCCTCTCAACGTGAACTTCAATTCTTGATTGCATTTCGTATATGTATTCTTAACAGAGAAAGAAATTTTGTGTCTTTTACAGAGGTGGGTTTTCCTTTCTTAATTTCTGTTAATTAATATAGCAAAATCTCTTTTATTGCAGTGCCTAATTATTTCATAATGAGCTCTATTATTTTTGGGTTAGTTAGAATCAATGACAAAAGGTAAATAAAAAGAAATGAAAAATTTTCTTCTTTTGAAGAATAGAAATCAGATAGTCATGTTAATAAATGCTTTGTGACCAATGCATTTACGTTAATCTCATTGTGTATCTCCATTCTGAAATGGAATTGCTTCAGGTTTGCAGGTTTTTGTTTTAACATCTGTGTTGAATCCTTCCTTTAGACTGATGTTTTGTGATAGTTTCTTTTTTTTTAAATTTTTAAAATTTCCCCCCTTAGTTTATTGAGATATAATTGACATACAATGGTGCTGGTTTCCTATTAGGGTTTTTTTTTTTTTAAAGATTTTATTTATTTATTTGAGAGAGAGAGAATGAGAGATAGAGAGCATGAAAGGGAAGAGGGTCAGAGGGAGAAGCAGACTCCCCGCCGAGCAGGGAGCCCGACGTGGGACTTGATCCCGGGACTCCAGGATCATGACCCGAGCCGAAGGCAGTCGCCCAACCAACTGAGCCACCCAGGCGCCCCTCCTATTCAGGTTTATGGAAGGTATAGAGAAAGGAAAACAGATGGCTTTGTTTTCAGGGGACCTGAGTTGGTGATGAGAAAATAATTTGGGGATGGGCTGAAGAACTGAATGACACCCCCCCCACCAGCTGAAAGAGATGAACAATTAAATCAATGTTGGATGCATTGGTATTTGGTCAATAGAAGTTGCTGAGCCCAATCTGGCTAGTTATGTCTGATGGAAAGTACTGAATTTTAGTGTGTCGACCACTACTTTCAGGAGAATTAGATGTTTACACCAAGTAGAAGTAGCTTTGAGCTATCAGAAAAGCAGTCATTTATTGAGATAAAAAAAGAATACATATTTTTTATTTCTGAAACTTTTCAAAATAAGGTTGAATGGAAATGAAACTGAATTTAGAGTACTGGGGGTAGAAGGGATGGTCTGTGGGCTTTGTTATATGGGAATGTGTGGGGATCCTGCTGTAGAGGTTGAAGCTGGCAGGAAAGAACCCGGAAACCAGCATTGGGTGTTTGAGGGCATCTTCTGCAGCCATCCCAAATTAGAGAAACATGGACTTGATCTTTGTTCCCGAGGGAGAGCAAGTAGAACATTGAGGTTCTGCTCTCCCCCCCACCTTCCAGTTCCTGCCACTTGTGCCTTCTGGCCTCTGCTTATGGGGGCTCTGGTGCCAGGGCTGACCACAGCCTCTTCCTCACTTACTAAGGTCTGATCTTTCAGGCCATAGTCTTGAGGGAGTTCAGAGCAAGTCTCCCTAAACTGTGCCTCTTTGGCATGTGAACTCTTTTGAGCTGAAGGCAATTGAAACTCTGTGGGATCAAGAGAAACTTTTGTCCTTCCACTGGCTACCTAGAAGAATCTCAATTTGGTATTCCCAGAATAAGAGTTATTACTGGAGATAAATTTTACCTGAATGGCCCATCGGTATAGCAGGGCGTATAACTAATTACCAATCATGTGCTTTTCCTTTTATTGCCCTGTGAATTGTGCTCCTCCCTCTTAAAACCCTAGGCCTATCCCATTCCTTAGCTCAGGATGGCATAGATCCCTCATTTTATCTGTCTTTGTACCTCTCATGTATGTGGGGTTCCCAAATGTATGAAATTAAATTTGATTTTATGGTTAATTTGTCTCATGTCAATTTTATTCTTAGACCAACCAGAAGAACCGTTGAAAGATAGAGGAAAATTTTTCCTATGCAACAGTTTCTTTTCTGCTGTTTAAACCTTGGCAAATGGGTTGGTAGGGAATCACTTCATAACTCCTAGGAGCAATGTGGTTATGATTCTCCTTAGTCTCTAAATCTGAACAGTGAACGTTCTCTTCAAGGTTATAAAATTGTTCAGCTCCCTAGAAAACCCATCCACATGAAGTTATGACAGAATTGCATCACTTCCATTTTATTTTTGAAATTTAAATGGATATACTATTCAAAACAACCTGTTTCAGAATTTTTTTTTCCTGCCCGCTTTTCCTACAACTATTTCGAAGGCCAGAAGGGAAAGAGTTTGACAGTCTTGACAGTCTTTGGATGCTTGCTCCAAAGTTTATTATAAGAACCAAGCTTCTCCTCAGTCATTTCTAGCAGCTAGGCTTCTGAGCCCTTGATCTGCATTTGAAGTAGAATGCTTCGTGGGGTCAGATTGTTTTATTTCTTGTCACTTCTGAATATGTCCTGTCCATTCAGCAACTGTTTCCGGTGAAATGATTTTTTTGGCCAATTTCATTTAATTCAAATTTGCTTTCCCTTTTTCATGTTGAGGGGATTTTCTTCTGCCTATAATAAAAATAAGCAATTTGCGCTTACTGTGTGAAGGCACTGTTCTAAGGAGTTTTTTCTTAAACAGCTTTAATATAATCTACCCCTTTAAAGTATACAATTCTGTGGTTTTTACTATATTCCCGGATTTGTGCATACATCATCACAGTCAGTCTTAGGGCATTTTATCACCCCAGCAGCAAGTCCCGTGCCCCCTAGCAGTCACTCCCCACTTAGACCTAGGCAGCAGTCACTCATCTGTCTCTGTGGATTTGCCTGTTCTAGACATTTCATGTAAATGGAACCATACAACAATGTGACTGTTTTCACTTAACATAATGTTTTCAAGGTTCATCTGTGCTGTAGCATGAATCAATACTTCTTTTCTTTTTACTGCTGGTAATACTATTTTGTATGAATAGACCACTTTTTGTTTATCCATTCATCAGTTGATGGGCATTTGGGTTGTTTCCACTTTTTGGCTATCATCAGTAATGGTACTATGAACATTCAACGTACAAGTTTTTGTGTGGATGTATGTTTTCAGCTCTCTTATGCATAAGCCTAGTAAATAGAAGTGCTGGGTCATATGGTGACACAGTGTTTAACTTTTTGAGGAACTGCCAGATTGTTTTCCAAAGTGGTTGTACCATTTTATATTGTCATTGGTGGTGTATGAGACTTCCATTTTCTCTACATCCTTGCCAACACCTGTTACTATCCTTTTGAGCGTAGTCATTCTAGTGAGTGTGAAGTGGTATCTCGTTGTAGTTGTGTTTCGCCTTTCCCTTAGAGCTAATGATGCTGAGCATCTTTTCATTGTGCTTATTGCTATTTGTATATTTTCTGTGGAAAAATGTCTACTCAGATCCTTTACAAACCATTTTTTACTTGAGTTATTTGTCTTTTTGTTACTGACTTGTAACAGATCTTTTTATATTCTGGATATAGCTCCCTTAGCTGATACATGATTTTTAAAAATTTCCTCTTATTCTGTGTGTTGTCTTTTTACTTTCTTGATGGTGACCTTTGAAGCAGAGATGTTTTAAATTTTGTTGAAGTCCAGTTTATCTGTGTTTTCCTTGTTGCTTGTGCTTTTGGTGTCATATCTAAGATACAAAGTGTTGTATATAAACTTTCCATATAAAGCAATTTAATCCTTACAAAAATTTTAGGAAGTAGGTGCTGTTCTTATCCCTAGTTTATAGACGAGGAATTTGAGATGCAGAAACGTTCACTGACTTGCTCAAGGTCACAGCTAGTAAGTGGTGATGTGGGAATTCAGACGCATGAGTTTGTCTCCAGCATCTGTCCTCATAACCACCATACTTTGTTCCTTTCTATAGGAATCATTTATTAAAAACTCTTTGCCTATTTGATTTCTTACTATGTTTTTTTTTTCTTCATTGGGACCTCATCTCTTTATTTAGCATGCAGAGTTCAGTGTAGGTTTATTTGGGTCTAAGGTAGGTGGAAGCTTTGCTATTAATGAATTTCTGTATTACTCACCTTCTAGTAATGATTGTTGCTAATTGACCTAAGAAAGTCATGCTTAAGGCTTTTCTTTTCATCACACTAAAGGTAGAGTCATGACTACAGAACATTCAAAGAAAGCATTTGGTTGATTTCATTTTGCTAACCAATGAAATAAAAAACCCAGTTTTGAAATAGATTGTAAGTCTCCCAGATTAAGGTCATTGTCTTCCTTATATCCATTTTGTTTGCTTGTAGCATCTAGATAGTGCCTTTTGTCCAGCAGATTAGTTAGAACACGGCGATCATGAATCATCATCTGTAGTAACAGAATTTTGACAACGGTATCTGTTGTTTGTTTCACAAGGGAAAAGATAATATAGAAATACTTCTCAGATCTATTTTAAAAGCTTGGAACTTTGAGAAGAGTTCCACAAACCATACAAAGCTATTTTCACTAATTTTAGATCTATCCTAGACATTTTATGGTTACATAGCAGAGTAAATTCATTAACTAGACTTGACAAGAGAAGTGTAATATTGATTATTTATCTTAATTAAAATGCTTTGGTTAAAGTAATTAGTGCTGTGAGTAAACAAAAATAAGCTTGCATTTGTATGCGACATGGGGATAGACTTCCTCTCTATTTCTGTTTTTTGGGAACATTTTTGTAGCTTTTCAGCAATGTTCTAACTTTAGAATTCTATTTTAAAATCATCACATTGTCTAGTGCAG